AAAAACAAAATTCATTTGAAAAAAAAATAAATTGAAAGAAAAAAATAATATATAAACAAATCTAAGATAACTCGGGTCATTCTTAAAATTAGTAATAAAATTTATAGAAATCAAATAAAAATAATAATGAAACTCAATCTCCAATCAAATAAATGTTAAGGGATGAAACGAAAAGATACTCGAGCTTCACAAAAAAAACAGAACCAAGTGAACGTCGCGAATCTCCTAAACCCGGGTTAAATCTTCTAAATGCATCCCATGTTTATATTTAATCAATTAATTTAATACAAAAAAACAAAATTCAATTGAAAAAAAGATAAATTAAAAAATAACAAATAAAAATATTTGAGATAACCTAAAATTTTCCCAAAATTTGAGAAAAATCCTATAAAAAGCAAATACAAAAAATAATGAAGCTCAATTTCCAATCAAATAAATGTTAGAGGATAAAAAACAAACATGAGTTTATTAAAAAACCGAGCAAACCTGACTAAATTCTCTAAATCTAGCTTAATTTTCCAAGTACATCTCATGTTTATATCTAATTAATTAATTAAATCTAATTCTAAAATAATTTTTTTAAAAAATCTAAATTAACAGATAAAAAGAGTCAAGATAACCCAATTCATTCTCAAAATTAGTGAGAAGTCCTATAGAATGTAAATAAAAATAATAACAGAGCCTAGCCTTTAATAGGATAAATCTTAAGGGATAAACAAAAAAAAAAACACGAGCTTGGTAAAAAAAAGATTAATTTAGGTGGATCTTCTAAAACTGAGTAAATCTCTCAAGCTTGTCCAATGTTTATATTTAATTAATTAATTTAATCTAAATAAAAAATAAAAATTATTCTAAATTTGAAAAACAATAAAAAAAAACCTGAGAAAACCAAGATCATTATCAAAATTAGTGAAAAATTCTATAGAAAAAATAAATAAAATAACAGAGTGTAATGTCTAATTAAATAAATATTGAGAGATAAAATTAAAAAAACATGAGTTTAAAAAAGAGAGGGGAAACCAAGTAAACTTGAACGAATCTCCTAAACTCAGGTTAAATTTCCCAAGTGCATCTTATATTTATATTTAATAAATTATTTTAATATAATTCCAAAAAAAATGCTTTAAAAAAAAGCTAAATTAAAAAAAGAAAGATATGAGATAACCCTGTTTTCTCTCAAAATTAGTGGAAAAACCTATAGAAATTAATACAAAAGATGAAAACCCAATCTTCAATCAAATAAATATTGAAGGATAATATATATATATATATATATATATATGAGCTTAAAAATAGAGGAAAAAACTAAGTAAGATAAACCGAAATTCCTAAATTTGGGTTAATCTCCAAGCTCATCCTATGTTTATATTTAATCAATTAATTAAATCTAATTAAAACAATTAATTTTTAAAAATCTAAATAAAAAATGACAATTAAAAAGACTTGAAATAACTTGAGTCAATCTCATAATTAGTAAAAAATTATATAATGAGAAAAAATAAAAGAAAATAACAAAGCCCAACTTCTAATCGAATAAATATTGAGGGATGAAATAAAAAAAATTAGTATAAAAAAACCCAAGTACAATTGAAAAAATATCCTAAATCATGGTTACTCTCTTAAGCTCGTCCCATGTTTATATTTAATCAATTAATTTAATCTAATTCAAAAATAAAAATATTTTAAAAAACTAAATTAAAAAAATAAAAAAACCTAAGATAATTTGGGTTATTATCAAAGTTAGTGGAAAGTCCTATAGAAAGTAAATAAAAACTCTTAAACTCGTAACCTATGAAATCTAGATTCCTAGATTCGAGCTCAATTAAAAAACTCAATTCCAAATAAATTTAATATTGAAGTATGAAATAAAAAAATATCAATATAAAAAATTTTCCTAAACAAAAAAATAAATAATTGAAGGAATGCGGATCAAATCTGACATGAAAAAAATAGAGGATGAAAACGCAAACAAAAAACATTCAATTTTAAAAACCATCCTAAAAAATAATAATAAAAGAAATGAGGACGAAATATGACCATTGATAAAATTTAAGGGGGTTGATATTAAAAAAAAATAATAAATTCTTAAATCATTCAAAATAAAACAAGTTTTCAATAATCCTCCGTGAAAATGAAAATTATTTCACAAGTTTGAAAATGACTTAAAGATTTATTGTGAGATACTGATTTGGAAGATTATTAAATTAAGATATGTAACTTTTGACTTTGAACATTCTTTAATGTAATACTATCAGATTTACTTGGTTAAATAGTAAATATGATGTCTTGAACTATTCAGTATTTTATGTAAATCAAGACAATAATACTTGTATAGTTTTTTACCTAAAAAATTTCTCTTGTTCTTACTATTATATTTATTTTAACTTTAAATAATTTTAGAATCATCTGTATTTTAAAGATTTAACATTTATTGAAATTATAAAAGAAATAATCACATTTCTTATTCATATAAATGCTATTTCATTAAATATATTATGTTATATTTCACATTATGTATAAAAATATGAAAATTATTAAAAACTCAACTCAATTTTTATTACATTGTAAATAGCATTTTTTTAATTATAAAAATAAATAAAAAATAATAATTACTTAGTGATATCAAAATTATTATATAACTTGATTTTTCATTTCAATCTAGATTTTAAGATTTCCAACCAATCAAGTATAATTTTATCTTTTAAAGACTTTAAATTCATTTCTCTTGAAAAATTATATAGGAACTCTCTCGTGAAATGCGACGGTAATGATTTAGGCAGATTTGTTCTTCTGGTCAACTCATTATTTATAATGTCCTCTTGATTTCTGGTTGTCTTCTCCGTCAATAGAATGAGACCTAATTAATGTTTACATCTTGAACGTCGATGGTCGCCAATTTCCAGATGGGCACCTTGCTCAAAATATGAGGTCTGTTTTTATCCGATCAATTTCTTCCCTGAAATTCTTGTCTTTTCAGGCTCTTCTCCATGTTTTGACATCCAACGATAGTTTTGGCTGTTGTATCAGCAATGGAAGGAAAAAGAAAAACCATTGTTGTAGTATTTGTTTATTGATTTTTTGCGTATTTAGTATCTTTATTAAAAAATATATATATATGTTCATGATTTGATTGTTTCACTGGAGATTAGACAAAAGAAGAGAAAACCCTGAAGCTAAAAAGAAACTCAAGTGAGTGTCTAGTGCAAGTCTGCTCCTTACAGATCCTCTTCTCTCACTTTCCATTTAAAGGGATCTCCCTTGTTCAAATTCATTTCATAAATTACTTCATTCATGAGGTTTATTGTTTTTCTTTAAAACAAAAATGTAATGGTTTTCAAGACTAAGAGCATCTCTAATTGGAGATGCTATTTTAAAAAAATAAATTAATAAAATAGTATTTTGAATAATATAAATATAGTTTTTTTTTACCATGCATGTTTTAATGAAAAAAAATCATTTGAAAAGCCAATTTTAGTAGAATAGAATAAATAAATATTTTATTTTTTTAATAGTTTTAATGTTTTTTTTTTTACATGGCTAGATTTAATTGGTTTATTTTTTTATTGGCCCCGCTTTGTTAGTTTTGGTTCTTTTACAAGATATGTAAGCATCTCCAATAGAGAAGCTAAATGAGGAGCCAACAATAAAAAATTACTATTTTAGCTTTTTTTTACTTGTTTTTTAGAGCATTTCCAATGGAAAATGCTATATTGAAGAGCCAAATGGAAAAATTAGCTTTTTGAATAGTGTAAATATTTGCTTTTTTGATTATGTGCATTACAATGGTAAAAAACTATTTAGAAAAGTCATTTATATTTTAATATATTTCATGTTAAATTAGTTTTAATATAATTATATAACTAATTTAGATATTATATATATAATATAATTATGATGTTATTAATTATATAATTAATATGAGTAATTTATAAAAGTAATATAAAATTAATGAAGTAATATGAAAGTTAAAAGATATTATTTAAAATTAAATTTAAAATTTATTTATATGAATATTTTTAATTTTAAGTTTTATATGTTATTGTTAAAAATTTAATTTTTTAAAAGTAAATTCAAATTCAGCACAAAAACATTAAATTAACAACAAAAGATCTAAAAAATCAAGAGATATAAAAGAGAAAATAGAAAAAGATTTTAAACAAGCATACCTTTTAATTTCAGCTAATTAATACAACCGATGTTAATAATTAATCGAAGAATAATTGATTCTTGTTTTTCTAAATTTGAGTGAAAGGTGAAGCACAATACAAAATTTTAAAATTACAAGTTTTTTCTTCATGCATTTAAAGAAAATTTCTTCTATATTTAAAGAAAAAAAAAAAGAATTATTGGCCAGCGACTATAAAAATAGCAGTTGGCCAACAATTATTATTTTGACCATGTAGAAATGACTCTTAGGTAAACAAATAGATAAAATGGCTATTTATTTAGGTACTTCGTTGGAATGTAAAAAGTGAGAATAAAAGCTAAAGTACATTTGTCTTCTCATTTAACTCGTAGATTGGAGTTGCTCTCATTCTTTAAATAAAGAGCCAAACAAAATGCTAAAATGCCTTTAATTTTTAACTAATGTTATTCCTATATATCTCTCAAAAGAGTCAAAACTAACAATGTAGGGCAACAAAAAAATAAGTCAATTAAATCTAGTCATGTGGAAAAAAATAACATTAAAATCATTTAAAAAATAAAACACTTACTTATTCCATTCTAATAAAAGTGGCTTTTCAAATGGTTTTTTTTTCTTGGAATATACACAGTAAAAAAAGCTATATTTATATTATTCAAAATACTATTTTATTAATTTATTTTTTCATAATAATATCTTCCATAGCTTTTATAAAAGAAAAAAAAACATTTTAGTATTTTATTTGACTTTCCCCTTTAAATATGAAAAACAAACTAAAAAAATTAAAATATTAATTTTTTATTTTTAACTATCCATTTAGCTTCTCTATTACAGATGCTCTAAGAGCGGGGTTTTCTGGCCACATATGCTAGCATTTACAATTTTTATTCTGAAGCTCCATGTCTTCTTGGTTTTAATGCTTCATCCTAAATTGTTTTGCTTTTGCTACAACTGCAGATAACCGGACTTGCACTCTCATTGCTTGACCCCGATTACATTTGTATCCAAGGGGCTGATTATGAGGTGATTGCTTTTGAAGCTACGAGAGCTAATCTCCTTGTGTTTTACTGCTTTTCTTGTTCAGCATTCTTTTTGTTCCAGATCGACTAGCGCTATATTAAGTTTCCATTTCAGTTGCCTTAAAAAATTTCTGCTTCCCCCTGTTGTCTTTTGGCCATCCCCACTTGTTCAATTGGGGCCATTTTTCACTCTCTTTGAAAGACGACAAAACAAAATACAACTGAAACTATAATTGCTTTTGCTTTGTTGCCATATGGAAAGAAAGATATTTATAAACTGCCAAATATATGTTCTTGTAGCGCATAGAGAAGGAAATTGTGTTAGAATAAGGAGAAAATGTACAAAGAGGACGGGGAATCTCCTGAACACAGAAACACGCAGCAAGTTACGATGCTGAAACACCAAAACTCTCCCTGCTTTCTGAATATGTTCTAGATAAACGCCTTGTTTGATCATCTGTAAACTGCTAGAATGTGAAACGGTAAATGTTTAATTTTCCTTGCTTATGACCAAACTTCTTTAAGTAGAGAAATCTAAAGGCTTTCTCAGAAACCTTTCAGGTATAGAAAATGGTAGATAGAAAGCTTTGAAGTATAGACCCAGAAAATGAGACTGGATCCATGAGGCTGCCAAATGCCCACATGAAGAAAATAGGAGTGTGGTAACTCTTTAACTTGTACCAAAAACTCACAGCCCATTTTGTAGTTCCATCAAAGCAGTGTGATATAACAAGTTTCTGGAAAGTCTTGCTTCTCTAATGTTATTATTTGGCACTTCTCAAGTTATTGAAATGGTGTGGCCTGAGCAGATGGCAACTTTCATAAACTTTATTGTCTTCTGCCTCAAGCCAAGTAATTCCAGCCTTGCCGTTGTGAGCTGGGCTTGCATTGAACTAAGCTGCCTTTCTAGTTAGCTAACACAACAACATTGATGCTGTTTTATTATGGGATGAGCGAGCCATCTCACTCTTTTACTTGCCAATCCTTGTTGCAGTGCTCCAACAAGGATGTAATGGGCGGTTGGTGTGCTTCTGGTAGCATCTTCTTGGCTGAAAAAAAGAGTGAAATAAACATGATAGCAGACCCTGAAAAAGGGAGTGAATAAGCATGGTGGTAGATCCTTGAAAATGGATATCCTCAGAGGTTGTTCAGATATGTTCTCATCTTTCGGATTGGACGCTGCTGCTTAGGCATCAGGATTTTTAAGCAGCAATCCTTATTAGCAGTTATGTCAAGCAGTCGTTGATCCTCCAGTCAAGGCACCAATTGACTTCTTCGAGAAGTTACAAATATATGATCAGCTCCTATCACCAAAGGTTAAACGATTTAATTCAATTCAATTGGACCGAATAAAATAATTAAATTGCTAAGTTTGGTTTTGTTTGGTTCTATATTTTATGATTATGATTGTTAAAATCAAATAATTTGAATTTGAATTGATTATTATTTAATTGAGTTATTTTTTACAGATTTTGATTTAATAATGAGTTTTGTTAGTTGGATTTTTTTATTTAGTTTGAATTGATTTTTTTTCATTCTTTAAATCTTCAACGAACTGAATTAAATTAAAAAACATTGAACAAAATTATTGAAGTAGTCAAGCTTGTAATAATATATGGTGTTGAAATATATTATAATTAAATAAAAATATATCTCAAACATATTACAAGAATAAGGATGATCGGGTAAATATATCTATGGACTACCAGGACTGATGTCCTTATTAATATTCAAGAGGAAATTTGATCATGTTAGGTCAGAATAACAATTAATAAGAATTATAATTTTTTATCTAATAATTAGATAATATTTAAATTTTTATAGGAATTCTTAGATATTGTTTTTTTATTGTAGTCCTTGTGTTGTATATAACCATTAAATTTTTAGATTTTAAAAATTTTGTGCCTGCTTTTGACTAAATTTTGTAAATTTTCCTTTTTTAAAATTTTTTTTTATATAATTTTATATTTATATTTTTGTTTTTTAGTTGAGATAGAGATAAATTTATTGTAACCTGCGAGATTAATGGCTTTATTGTCTCTTAAAAATTGAAGCAAATGAGAAGAAGGCGAAAACCAAATTCCTGAGATAGAGATGGAACGGAGGCTGCAAGTCAATTATCGTTGCCGCCTCATGCCTTCTCCTCAAGATAGCAAATCCATAACTAATAAATATTCAACGTATTTTTTGTATCTGAATTCTAAGCCTCTCTTTTTTCCCATGTGTTTTCTTGTCAAAGCATCAATCTATCCATGGCGTTGAACATTTCTGACAGTGCACAGTGTGATAGAGCCTTCCGGCTAGGTATGGTGGACCACTGGACCTCTTTTATCTTCTCGTGGGCTGCAATCCTTGTGGGTTTTTTAAGGATCAATCTTGTTTTTTAAAAATACTGAAAATTTATTTTTTAAATTTATTTATTTATTTATTAATTAATAAAATAATATTTTTTAATCAATAAAAAATATTTTCTAGTCAATAAAAAATATTTTTTAATAAAAAAAATTTACCTTAATTTTCAGAAAAGTATTTTTATTTACTATGATTGTTTTTTAAAAAGTAATTTCCGGAAAATCACTTTCCAAACTTTCTTATGTTTGTTTGCTGTTAGAAAAGTTGGTCAACAAAAAACATTTTTCAGTTAAAAAAAAATTTAGTTTGGTTTTTAGAAAAGTGTTTTTCTGAAAAATTTGGATAAAAAACACTTTCTAAAAGTTATAAAAATTTTAGAAATATCATTATTTATTAATTATATCAAATTTGATCTTTAAACTTTTAATTTATTTATATATTTTGTTTTGAATATTTATTTTTCAATTTCATCTCTTAAAATTTAATTTTTATATTAATTTTTATCCTTATTTTTATAATTGCTATTTGCTTTTTCCTTATTATTTTTTTATTAAAAATTTTTATCTATCAAATTTGATTCTTATTTTTTTTATTATTACTTATTTTATTTGAAATAATTTACGAAATGTTGATTATTATTATTTTAATTTTTTTATCTTTTATTTTTTTAATTTTTCAGATTTGATCTCTATTATTTTGATTATTATTTATTTTATTTAAAATGATTTATGAAATTATATTTTTTTTCAATTTCATTCTCATTCAACTATTTAATTTGTAAAATTTGTTCCTTATTATTTTAATACACTTAAAAAAATAAATTATTAATAAATTATTTTTTAATTTATTTTTTATAGCATAACTAAATATTAAAAATTATTTTTTAAAAAAATTAACTCTAATGTATGTAGACTGCCGAGTTATCGTTTAAGATGGTCAATTAATTGTTGTTTTTTAAAATAATTTTTAATTAAAAATATATTAAAATAAAATAAAAAATATTTTTAAAACATAAATACAGACATCCACAACATCTATCCTCAATAATTAATAACCCGTGTAAACTAGGGCTTGGCCTAGCGGTGGAAGGGGCTTGTCTCCTTCCACTGCACCTGGATTCAAGCCCTAGCGTGTATGTCTGTCATCCCTGCGGTACCTTACATGTCTAGTGGGTTGGCAGGATATTCAATGAGCTGTGGAGATTAATTGTAGTGCGTGCAAGCTGACCCGGACACCGCACGTAAATAAAAAAAATTAATAACCCGTCTCGTATGTGCGCCTCTTATTTTATGTCGAGACGATACCGACCTTCCGAATCATTGATGGGACATTTAAATCTAACGTGTCGGGATATTTCTAGTTTTACAATCTTGGGGACAAAGAAAGAGTCACATCGGTATTAAATTGTTTTTCCAGGTGGTATTTAAATAAATTAATTTTTTAAATCTTTTTAACGCAATAATCTGAGAATAATATTTAAAAAATAATATTTTAATATATTTATAAATAAAAAAACTTTAAGAAACAACGGCGGCTACAGGAGATAAAATCTGGCTCCTCGAGTTTCATACTGTGATCATTACCAACATGTGCTAGAAGAGACTGATATCAGCAATTTATTTGGGATGTCAATAATAAATGTTGGTCCTTGTATCTTACGCTAAGGACATATCCCTGATCTTGTTGAATAAATTTATCAAGAGACGTGCAGAGAGAGGCTACTCTGTTCTTTTCACTACACGTCATCCGCATGATGATGGGAGCGAAAGACACGTATGGGCCCTTTTATTTTATGGACCTCAACTTGATGGCCCCAACAATAAAATATAAGGGGGTCACAGCTTCGGCTGCCATCAGACGACAGGTCCGATGCTGACGGTTTATTTGTTGCCACGCACACACATAGGCGTTTTTCATGTATGTAATTTTATTTGGTGTTTATCTTATGCACTTGTGAATTACTCAAGCGTCAATAAAGTACTGAAGATTTATTTAATTAATGTGATTTAAATAAATTATATGTTTGTCATAAGTTAATTTAAAAAAATTCTTAGTTTTTTAACCAAAAAATCTTAGTGTTTTTTAATTTAATTCTTAATTTATGATATTTAATCAGAAATTATTAATAATAAAAATTAATTTTTCAATATTTTAACTTGAAAAATCACTATAAAAAAGGTGAATTTAGAGTTTCTAACATGTTTTTTTTATATATATTTTTACACATTTTTTCTCATTTTATTTTTTATATTAGACTTTGTTTAGTTAATCTTGTAGAAAATAATAATAATAATAATAATAATAATAATAACAACAACAACAATACAAATTACTTGGGAAAGAAGCTTTTAGCATCTTTAAGATTTAAGTTATAATTTTTTTTTAATATTTTATATTATCGCATATAATTTTAATTTTAATTCTATATGTTTTAATATATATTCTTTAAATTTGTTAGGTTTTTTCCTCTTTTTTTTTTAATTTTAGAAGTTTGTTATATAACTTTATTTTAAAAGTTATAATTTATGTTATAATTTTTTTTTTCATATTTTGACAATTATGTAGTTGATTATTGTTCTCATATACCTTATTGTTCATGTGCATAAAAGATCAGTGTGGTGAATAGATATGGTCCAAAAAACTTTGCATTGAAAGATTAAGTTTTAAATTAGATTATTTGTAACCGCTTCAATCTTTTCTGGAAATTTATTTAATAAAAATATTATTTATACAATATTAATGTTGTATATGGTAGAATTTGCATATGAAATAGTGATAATTAAATATGTCACAATAAAAAAAATAGAGCTCATCTTCTTAACTAAAGAAAGGGTATATATGTTGATATTATCTCGGATAGTTTAAATATTTTAATTTATTAAGTTGCTTCATTATAGTTTTTTTATTACTTGTTTTTGTGGAGCCAAAATATTTATTTATAAATATTATTAACTTTTTTTTGTATAGATTGTATCATATCTTTTAGTTCTACTTAAGATTTGGTTGTATCAACCACTCTTGCTTCAACAAGTACTATTTCAGTAGTGATAATTCCATCATTACTTTCTTTGATGCATATTGAGAAATCTAAAAAGTTTAATGAATTAAACTTTAAAAGATAGTAGCAAAATATATTATTTTATCTAACCACCTTGTATTTGACAAAGTTCTTGATTGAAAAAAAATACTAAAATCATCAGAAAATAAATTTGACTCTATCATCATGGTAGTTGTAGATACATGAAATCATACTAACTTCACACATAAGAACTACATCTTAAATGAGTTAGATAATACACTTTATGATGTGTATAGTTCAATCAAGAATACAAAAACAAAATATAAGAATGTTTAGACAAAAAGTACAAAGTTGAAGATATCAATATGAAGAAATTCATATTTATTAAATTTTTAGATTTCAATGTGGTTAATTCAAGAATCATAATGAGCCTAGTTCAAGATTTTAAACTCATCTTGTATGATTCTAAGTGAGTCATTCTAAGTAACTATAATTATTGAAAAATTATCACCATTTAGAAAGACTTTAAAAACTATATTAATCATAAGCACAATAAGATACGAATTGAAAATCTCATTTTAAAGTTGAGGATAAAAAAGAATAATAAATTATCCAAAACAAGAGCCAGCTTTTCTAGTGCCCCGAAAGCAAATTTTATGGAACAAATGGTAAAGTCTCACAATAAAAATCAAAAGTAAATGCTTATTATGAAAGGGAAAGGAATTGCTAAAAAGTTCAATAACAACCTTTATCTATAACAAGATTATGTATTTGGCTAAATATGGCAGAAATAAAGATCAATTTGAAAACCCTAAGAAAAATATTTCCCAAGCTAATGTCATCGAGGTTAATCACCTCAGATGAGTTTGGTATTGAGGTTGTTGTTGTGGTTATAGTTTTTTAAAAAAACTA